AAAATTTTCTGCCTGATTTTCCTTGTCTTGGGCACTCTCTTCTTCCAAGATGTAATTTTACTAGCTAGACCTTGTACCTAACTCTTCTCCCTGCAGAAAGCATACCATAAACATAATGGTACCTTAGCAGTCTTTGACAGCAGAAAATTTTGCCTGTTTACCAAATTAATTTCACCTTGTAATGGGTATGTTTATAACAAACACTACTTAAGAACAGGTTTAAAAAACCTAAGGTTCACTTAAATGCAACATGATTTCTCATCTCTCAATATTTTCCCAAACCTGAACTCCCCCACATTTAATCCATTATTCTCTAAACAAAATCTTGGTCACCACACATTAAAATATTCTCTTTTCCGGCCTATGTCACATTTGCCAATTTTTAAAAAAATAAAAAACAAAAGACAGTTCTGGAAGCGATCAAATCCGTAGAGCCTTCATGTCCTCTGAGGACAGAGACACACAGTAAAAGACACTTCAAGACAGCAAAATCCCAACAGTGGAAATCTGAATTCCCAGACCCTAGGAAGTTTCCAGTACAGACACCTAAGTTTTCTAACAAATAAAAAAACTTAAATGGAGAACCTAGATAATTAATCAATCAAAATGTAGGGAACTTGTTTAAATCCTAATTCAAATTGTTTAATAAGAGTAAAACTAACAAGACAATCAGGAAAAACTGGAGTTTGATACCCGTGAATTATCAGTCTTAAAAAAGTAATAATGGTATAGTCTGTGGGTTTTAATGTCCTTGTCTCTCACAGCTATACACTGAACAATGTAGAAAGGTAATATGCTTCTTGCCTTGAATCTGTTTCAGATAATCAGGAAAGGTGTGGTACTTCTGCAAAGTGATGAAATGAAACTGCTCACAGGCTGGGGACCACTGAAGCCAAGTGACTGGCGCGGAATGCAGTGTTACATGATTATCTCCACTACCACACAGTACCTTTGAAGTTTCTGCCTTTCTTCTACTCAAAAATCTACAAGTGGGGCTGGGATTTAGCTCAGTGGTTCTGCCGCCTGCCTCACAAATGCAAGGTCCCGAGTTCAATTCCTGGTATAAATCAATCAATCAATTCACAATCATTTAACAGAAATTTAAAACGTCACTATTTTGGGAATGAAAATACCTACCATAAATTATCACTTATTCAGTGACTCCTAGAGGGTTAAAAAAACTATGCCAGGCACTTGAAAAATACAGTTTCATTGTACCTGATACATTAAAACTCTCACTTGGCAGATTAGAAGGGGGAGGAAGGGACGGGATTTTGCTCAGTGGTTCCGCTGCCTGCCTCGCAGGCACAAGGTACAGAGTTCAATCCCTTATATGCACCACCTCCCCAAAAGTAAGTGAAAGCCAACTTCAAACTTACAACTCCAATGCCCATGCTACTTCTTCCCCCACCCTCTTGGTTTGTTTGGTTTTGGGGATGGCACTGGGGATCGAACTTGGGTCCTTGCACTTGTCAGGCAGGTGGTGGAAGCACTGAGCTAAATCCCCGGCCCCCTTTGGTCTCTCCCACCCCACCCCGTACCAGGGATCAAACTCAGGACCTTCTGCTTCCGAGGCAGGCACAGTGCTACTGTGCTAAACCCCCAGCCCTTCAGTTTTTTTGAGACAGGGTCTGGCTTTGTAGTTAAGACTGGCCTTGAACTCAGTATGTACCTCACACTGACCTTGAACTCACAGGGTGCCTCTTGCCTCAGCCTCCTGAGAGCTGGGATTATAGGCATGCACCATCATGCCAAGTTTCAACCTTTTTATTTAGATAACTGCTATTTGGCTTATTATATGTAAGGGGGAAAAAAACACATGTATTCATGAAAACTATCCAATGTAATCCCAACAGTAAGAATCCCAACCTCCCAGAGGAAATATTAGAAATTATTTAATGTACATCATCATTTTAGAAAGGAAGCCCAGGGCCAGGGATTTAGCTCAGTGGTTCCACTGCCTGCTTCACAAATGCAAGGTCCCTAGTTCGATCTCCTGTACCAAAAGAAAGGAAGCCCAAAGAATGTGTCGTTTCAAGATTAAACACACATCCAGCCTCACCCACCAACTGTGATAAAATGTAAGACAATAACTACCTTAACTGACAATAAAGGAACCAATGCATCCAAAGAAGCTTCAAGATGCCCCCTTTCTACTGGGAAGTCATTAATACAGCCTCACATGCTTGTAACTTGTTAGGCTGGTAAAATAATCTTCAAAATGCAATATTAGATATTTGTCTTTTAGTTAAATAAGCTTTATTATAATGTAGTTGCAGTGGGTTTTCTTTAAAACTTCTATGCCACAAGCCAGACGTGGTGGCACACACCTGTAATCCCAGCACTTGGGAGGCTGAAGCAGGAGGATGCTGTGAGTTCGAGACCAGCCTGGGCTACATAGTGAGTTCGAGGTCAGTCTCACTACATAGTGAGACCCTGTCTCAAAAAAAAAAAAGAGAGACATAAAAAAGGTTACAGACTGGGGCTAGAACACAGTGTTGGAGGTCCTGATTATTTTGTGGAGGCAGGGAATTACATATTTTTCAATTTTATAAGCGACATGCTAAAACTATTCCTCCTGTCACAACAATCTAGGATATGATACTGTACTTATAATCAATGTTATATACAAAAGCATATAGTGACTTCAACTTATCTCCAAGCCCTTATCCTTGAGAGGATACAATTTTCTCAAAGGAAAAAAACTCTTGGTTTCCTTTACTGTACTGATGCAATTAGCCAAAACGTTTAAGAAAAGCTCAGAAATGGGGGAGAACCAAAGTCACCAAGAACCAAAGGTATGTGACTGCTGTACACAGTATTTATGATACCATGTGCATCCACAGTCCCTCTACCTGAGCTTGGGCTTTTTCTGTAACAGACAACAATAGTTTATTTTAAAATGGCCCCTTCCTCCTTGCCAAATGTTCTAATCATCCTTTGAAAGCTTTACAATTAGAAAAAGGATCATAAACTAAAATCCATCATTAACAATCTATACAGAACATTAAACTTTAGTGGGCTGGGCTTTAGACTTTAACACCTTGTAAAAATGTTGGAATGAGTGTTTTCAAAATCCATAAGCTTTAAGAATGTGTTAATCAGCCAAACACTGTAAAAACTGCCTGAAGAATGACTTGCAGAAGCAAGGAAAAAAATGCAAACTATCAGAACAGACTGTCCATCCGGGGGCAGCACACCAGGACTCCTCCACACCTCTAACCACCAGCCATCTGTCCACATAGGTCTGTATTTTACACAGGCTGTATTAGAGCAAAGAGAAAGGTCTAAGCCAAAGCTTTAACTTTATTTCCTAATAATTTAGGAACCATACATATACACTTTAATTTTATCTACTCTATAATTAAAATTTGAACATCTTAAAGTTAATACAATATCAACTTATAAGCATTGAAAATTCCAAATCCTTTCTCCACTAATTTATCTTTTGGATGTCATTTAAATTGTTATTTAACCCTATGTTTAGAATTTTAGGTATTTTGGGACTTGGGAAGGCTTTAAATATGTAAAGTGGATAACTAAAAAATTAGTTTGCAGAATTCTATAGTCAGAAAAAGCAATAGGAAAAACACTTCTTGGTATATGTTTTCAAGATTCATGACAGTTAGAATATTGGGCAAATAACATCAAAGCAACTAGCCATATCCAATTTATTTATATCAAGTCACACATCTCAAAACGATAGATTAAACATGGGGCAAGGCGACAAAGGATGAGGGACATGTACCACTTAACTGTAACTACTCCCACACTTTCTAGAAATTTAGAAATTGCAAATTGTCAGTTTGAATAATTCAGTCCAGCTATTTAAAGCTACTGCCACTTATGAGAACGGTCACAAATATGTGAAGTCTCATATTCACATAAATGTGCTTTTTACAAATTGATAAAAATTACTGTAAATTATTTAACTTTTCTCTTTCAAAAGTTTAAGTTAATGCTTTTGTCTCTCTGTAGTACCTGCACACAGTAGTTGTCTTCTGCAAGACTAAACAGATAAATTGAAAGAAAATGAAACTTCAAGTAACAGAAGGTAAACTACAAATATCACTAACTTTAAAATGCAACCCTTAAAGCAGCTTTATTAAGTGGCTAAGGATTAATGTTAGTTCAGGGTCAGTAATAGAAAAAGATGTTCCATTCTTGTGTTTTCTTCATTTTTAGAATAACTAACACACACACACACACACACACACACACACACACACGTACGTACGTACGTACGTACGTATATATTACTGCACGCCAGTAATATATCTCCAGATCTCAAGGAAGTTGCAGTGTTTTGAAGTTAACTAAAAAGCTCAAGTATTCAACTTAAGTACTTTAATGTTATTTTACCAAAATAACCATCTAGTCCTTTGATAAATCCAGGTTTAGGGTGGCAATAAGTAAACCAAATTAAAGTTTACCAAACTGCTAGGGATTTGGCTCAGTGGCCCGGTGCCTACCTCACAAGCACAAGGTCCTGGATCCCCACTACCAAAAAAAAGTTTACCATAAAACCAGACAACTAAAATTTTGTTTAGCTACACTATTTCAAAGCAGGTTAGAAAACTTTTAATTTTTTTAGTTATACTATCATAAAACTAAAAATTCATTTTGAAAAGGGGATAATTTAACAACCTTACATTTTTACTTTGGGCCATGTTATTTTATGTATCAATCAGATCTACAGATTGATACAGTGTAAATAGTGACTTTAAACCCTCTCTCTCCTTTTGTTCCCTTTCAGCCAGGCGGGCCACCCTGCTGCCTCCAGTCTTTAATAAAGACCTCTCATAGGAGTTCTGTCTGTGCAGGAGCGATCCTCGGCAGGCATTGGTTTCTTTCATTGGTGCCATGACTCCGGTCCGGTGCTACCCAGCTCCCAACTTTAAGCCGCGGGCTTAGGGACCCCGAGCCTTGGCGCCCTGATCCCCCACACACAATCGTGTCCCTTCACCCAGACTCCTCTCCGCACCCACCACCGGCCTCACCGATTGCTTATCTTACAGAAAGCAACCACTTCGCGGCCCGCCTTCTGGATAAAGCCCATGACGTGGATCCAGATCCGGCTGCGGTTTCTTCACTTCATGACTCAACCACAACAAGACTCCATTGGTCCTATCCTCAAGAAAGATCAGTAAATGGGATCTTAGATTGGTTAACAGAACATTTCTACCAAAAGACCCTCCAAGATTTTAGTTCAAACAAACTTTGCCTTCTATACCCTTCTCCTTATCTGCTGGCTTACACTCTCACCCGCACAGCTTCGAGTTGAGCCATTTGATTAACATCTCCCAATGGCCCAAAAGCTCTCCCATTCCCAAATGTGGGACGCACAATTCTTGTTATACGTCTCACAACAGTACCTGTCGCCTACACAAAAAGACCTGGTCTGCCACTTGCCATACTCACCCAAAGATTTGCCCTTTCTGCAACGAGTATATGAGCTCCTCCTCAGATTCATGATGGCAGAGACAAGGCAATTTAATTCTACTCCTAAGGTACCGCAGTTCCCACAAAAAGGACTCTGTGGTCCCAAACTGGCACCTGGGAAATACAAATCCAACTTCCACACTAGATTTTTGGTCCAGGTGTTCTGCCATCCAGTCACCTTCCCAGTTTCACATGCTCCCCGATTAAAAGGAAAAAATTATGCATTTAACTCCTTGGCGGTGCTACTATTTTTTACTATTGCCAGGGAAGGCCCCTCCACTTGCTGTATATATATGATATTTTCAGGATACGTCTAACTCAATTCTTCACCATTTAGGCCGCCCCTCCACGGTTGTCCTGCCCCTCAAGCTACTATACTTGCCAGATCAGCCCCCATCACTCCACGATCTTGCCGTCACTGCCCTCCTCAAAGCTCCTAAACAAGCAGCCGTCCAATAGCTATGTCGCCCCACAAGGGTAAGAGATGATAAAATAAAAATCCCTCCCTTCGCCCCTCATCACCCCACACCTGCCCCTTTTTAGCAAAAAAAGGGAAGAATATAAGGTAAGTGCGATAAATAACTTCCTTTTTCACCATAAAGTTTCCACTTCCTACCTCACGCGTCACTGGTCACGAGACCGGCACATGAACAAGGTTTGTCTGTTAGAAAATAAATGTCCCAGAGTGGCCCCTGAGTGGCTGCCCGTGCAGCAAACACAATCCTCAAACCCGCCTACACCAGTCACCCAATATATAACCAAGCCCATTCCCGTTTCCTCTCTCTCCCTCCCCTTTTGTTCCCTTTCTGCCAAGCAGGCCACCGTGCCACCTCAGCTCTTTAATAAAGACCTCTCATTACAGAGAAAAAAAAAAGTGATTTTAAAAATGAACTTAAACTAGGTGTGGTGGCGCACGCCTGTAATCCCAACACTCGGCAGGCCGAGGCAAGAGGATCGCTGTGAGTTGGAGACCAGCCTGGACTACATAGTGAGTTCCAGGTCAGTCTCAACTACACAGTGAGACCCTGTCTCAAAGAAAACCAAAACAAACAAACAAAGAAAAATTAAAAATAGAAAAGGGATTGGGGATATAGCTTAATGGTAGAGCATCCTGGGTTCATTTTCCAGCACCACCAAAATATAATTTAAAAAGCGTTCAAAAGAAAGTTTAAAACACAGTTTTCTTTAGAGTATTAAGCAGTTCCAGTAGATACAAGGTGCTATTTAAATGGACTGCTCTGTGGTTTCCAGAGGTTTGAGGACAAGAAAGCGAGCTGTTCTTTTTGGGGAGAGAGGTAAAGTTAAATACTACACAACACATTTCTTCTTTCCATCATAACTTATAATGAAGTAAACCAGACGCTGGAGCTCTCTGACGATCAGAATCTGTAACAAATCCTAACAATGAAACCTAAGATATTACAAAATTGAGGCACAAACCTTTAAACAGTTTATAATGTATTATTGGTTAACATATGGGTAAATATACTTTCCTCCTAAATTAAGATTCACTACTTTAAAAGTAATGAACATTCTATTTTTCCCATCCTAGCTTCCAAAATGCTTTTAAAATTGCTTTTTAAAACTTGCAGAGTATGTTGCATAGAGTTCAGCACTACTTTTTCTAAAAAGCATACATTCATACAAGTCTATATGTATCTAAATCTTTCCCAAAACACAAGAAACTGCACAGAGCCTGCATTTGAGGAAGACAAAAAGGCAGTTTTAACCATTTTGATGTTTTAAATTTTGCCATGAGTACTATATATTTTTAAGTCTTCCAACCTTTTTAATTACCATAGAAAAAACTAGTTTCACTTAATTTCTGTGAAAGTTTTGTATACAGTATAACTCAAGAAAAGAGTTTGAGATTTCATCTGTTTCCATAAGTACACCATTAACCAAGAACAATGAAGAATTGTATGACAATGTTTTTACCAATTTTAGTTACATTGGTAGTTCATCAAAATGCAACAGACTAGAAAAAATGCACAATAATGAGGTAAAGTTAGTCTTGTATGGAAAAATAACCTGCATATGATTAAATTATAAGTGACATTAACAATATGCACGTTATTATTATACTTTCTATAGAGTGCAACATCAAATTTGAGACAATGCATCAATCACAAAGAATGACTTGATATCTTACAGATATCCCCAGAAAATAATCCAATATGCTAGATTTATTGCATTTAGATAGCTAAAGTCTATAAGAAATTACTCATTGAAAAGGAAGCATAAACAGCCAGGCATGATGATGCACACCTGTAAAGAAGATTCAGGAAGCTGAGGCACGGGGATCACAAGTTCAATCCCAGCCTTACCAACTTAGTGACTTAGTGACACCCCTGTCTCAAAATAAAATAAAAAAGGTTCTCTTCCGCAAAAGAGGGGACCAAAACATGGAGGGAGTGGATAAGAGGGAAGGAAGAAGAAAAGAATTAAGATGTGCACGGACCAGGAATTTAGCTCCGTAGTTCTGCCACCTGCCTCAAAAGCACAAGGTCCCAAGTTCAATCCCCCGTACAAAAAAAAAAAAAAAAAAAAAAAGATGTGATATGTACATATCATATGTACTTATTCCCCAGTGTATGTGATCATTATGTACTGTAAACATGTACTTAAAAAAAAAGTGCTGGGGATGTAGCTGAGTGCGAAGATCCTAAATTCAATTTCCAGCACCAAAAACAAAAAAGCATAAGCAAAGATTTCATCGTATGGACATGAGATTATCATAAATCATCTTTCCATCTGTGCTGAATCACTGCCTTTGGCGTGCCACACCATGCTAAAATCTCTTACCTTCAAAACCCTCACTTTGAGCAACAAATGATTGCAACATGTTATAATCTGTGCAATAAGAATCCAGAAGCCAGTATCAACATAAAATATATAAGAAGGAAAAGCTCCTAAAATTTCAACTAGTAAGTGAGAAGAGGCCACCATTTGACAGCCACTATGCTAATAATAGTTCAAACAAAAACCATCAATGAATGCTAAAATGAGTAAAAGTACTGTTAAGAAACAGGTTCTTTACAGTCTCTGAAGGCAACTAACCAGGAGGATCCTATTGCAAAGGAAAAAAATAGCCACTTAACCCTAGAGAAACCTGGCAGACGCAACCTTAACCAACTGATCAAAATTATCACCACTATCAAAACAAAATGGGGCTGGGGATTTAGCTCAGTGGTGCTGCCACCTGCCTCACAAGCACAAGGTCCCACGTTCAATCCCTGATGCAAAAAAAAAAAAAAAAAAAGAAAATCGATAGCATGCTTCCTGATTAGGTACACTGAAAACTTCTAAGGTAGTCCATTTAAATCATAATCTGGGCAGGGCCAATGATTTAGCTCAGTGGCACCATGCCTACCTCACAAGCACAAGGTCATGAGTTCAATCCCCGGTACCAAAAATCAATAAATAAATAAATCACCCAGGAGATGGGGATGGAAACTCAGTGGTACAACCTGGGCTTGATCCCCAGCCCTGAGGGAAAAATAATAACCTGATTCTTAGGATGGAAGCCACTCACCCTAGAAGTCCACGATGGGAGACAGACCTTCTACAATAACTAGTTTACAGCCCTCACAAATATGAAGGACATCACAGACAAGGACTAAGGGAGTGTCCCAGATTAAGAGACCAGAGACATCACATCTAAATGCAGCATGTAACCCTGGATTTGGTCCAGGATCAAAAACAGGACATTAGTTGGACAACTGGCAAAGTATGAATAACATTTTAAGATTAAACACTGTGGTGTCAATGCTAATTTTCTTTATTTTCATCACTGGACAGTGGTTATGTAACAGAATGTCCTTGTTTTGTTCTGTTTTTTGATACTGGGTATTGAACTCAGGATCTATGCCTGCAAAGCAGGCAGCAGTACCACTGAGCTAAATCCCTAGCCCAGAATGTCCTTGTTTTTAGGTAACACACAGTAAAGTATTTACGGGTAAAGAGCAGTATGTGTGCAACTTACTTTCAAAGGTCCCTGAAAGCGGGCCAGGGATTTAGCTCACTAGTTTTGCTGCCTGCCTGGCAAGTGCAAGGACCCGAGTTCGATCCCTGGTACCACCCACCCAGAAAAAAGTTCCTGAAAAATTAGAGCAGTTAAACTTTTAACAAGGAATCTAAACAAAAGGTATATGGACAATCTGTACCATGCTTGCAACTTGTCAGTAAACAAAAAATTTTAAAGCCTTCCCCCTACCTGCAAGCCTTCCAACTTACCTTCCTATTTCTCTGATGTTTTTATAACACAACTCCTTGAAAGCCTAACCATGTTCATTCTCTACTTCCTCTCCATCTATTCATCCTTCCAAAAATGCACAATAGTTTCAATACTACCATTCCATCAAAACTCCATCTGAGATGGGTACAAGGAGCCAGTCTTGCACTGTAGTGCCAGCTACTTGAGATACTGAGGCAGGAGGATATCTCTCTGTTTTTTTGTTTTGTTTTGTGTCTGGGATTGAACTCAGGACCCTGCAGCACTTGCAAGGCAGGTACAGCACCACTGAGCTAAATCCCATGGCCCAGGAGGATCTCTTGAGCCCAGGAGTTTGACAACAACCTGGGCAGCAGACAAAAACCACATCTCAAAACACACACACACACACACACACACACACACACACACAC